GTGCGTGGGGCGGGGGCGCGTGCAGGGGGCATGCAGGGCGTGGCCGTGCGTGGGGCAGGGGCGCGTGCAGGGTGTGGCCGTGCGTGGGGCGTGGGCGCGTGCAGGGCGTGGCTCGTGACCCGGTTCCTCTCTGCAGGTGCGGAAGATTGCGCCCGAGTACTACGACCACCTGCCCCAGCACCACTCGTGGGTGAAGGTGCTCTGGGACTTCGTGTTCGAGGACTCCCTGGGGCCCTATGCCAGGGTGAAGCGGGTGTGCAAGCTGGCAGAGGACCGCCTGTGAGCCGCCTGGCCGGTGCCCATGTGGACGCGCTGACCTGCTGGGGAGCCGGCCGTGCCCGTGCTCCCTCAGCCTGCTGCCTGGACCGGTTTGGCCACTTTTGGCTCCTGCACCTTGTTCTGCTGCTCTCGTGCCCGGGGCCCTGGGGACCTGCCTGGGGACAGTGAACACAGACACCCGGAAGCTTGGTCTGCTTGTGGCTCGCTGATGGCCCCAGGCCAGACCCTTCCTGGGCGGCCCCTGCACGGCCTGGCCCCTCCTGGGCGCCGCCCTTGGGCCTCATTTCTCTGGTGTTCTGCCCTCCATTAAATTTAGCATGTATTTTCATCCCCACGGACTGGCCTCCAGGAGGTGGTCTTGGCTCCAGTCTGGGCCTGAGGATGAGGTCCAGCTGGCCCCGCTGGGCGGTGTAGGCCCCAAATCATGCCCCACCTGCTCCCCACCCTTTGGGGGCTGCAGTTTCTTGCACACCCTGTCCTGAGGGCCCTGCCAGTGTGCCCAGTGCTGTGGGCCGCAGCCTGTCCGAGGCACACGTGGTCCCCCCACCCCTCCTCCGCCCCGTCCCTATAACCAGCCTCGGAGCCCTTCCTTGCTTTCCCCGGCTGAGCCCTGCAGGCACAGCCTCCCTGCGTGTGCCCGCCTCGAGCCTGCCACCATGAGTCCACACTGCAGAGCCTCCCCTGACCCCCAGAGGGTCCCGGCCTGACATGGGGCGGGGGGCGGGGGATTGTCCACCCCTTCCCCTGGCTCAGATGTGGCACTTGAGGGATGCTAGTGGGGTGGGGCGGAGGGGTGGGGATAGGCAACTGCCCTGGGGTGCAGCTCTGGGTGCTGCAGGCTGGGCAGTGGGTCTCTGTGAGCTGGGAGGCGGCTCTGCCTGCTGTGGCGGGGCAGAGGGTGCAACTGGAACCCAGGGGTCATTTTCCTTGGCTGGAGGGTTTGCGTGGAGAAGGGGGTGGTCCTGGCCTCCCAGCGGTGAGGCCTCAGGGCTGGGCACGGCAGGGGCTCTCGCCTGACCAGGAGAGGCACTCTGCAGAACCCCCGCATGGTCCTAAGACTTGGCAGGTGCTCAGCCGCTGGGAGTGGCCTCCGTGGAGCCAGGTACCTGGGCCTCTGAGGCCTGGCTCCAGGGATGCCGGGCGGGGCCCACCTGTGGGCGAGGCAGCTCTGTTCTGGCTGAGGACGGCGAGCCCGGCCGGCTGCCCCTCTGCACCAGCAGCCCTGGCCAGGGGCCCAGCGCGCACTGCACGGAATGACGTCTGTCCTGAGTCCGGCCAGAAGTGGTAGCCCGGCACCCTCCGGCGGCCTTTGCAGGTGGCTGGGGGCCGGGGGACCACGGTCTCCTGGTGGCTGTGGGTGGGGCAAGACTTCAAGGCCTCCCCGGTTGTTCACACTCCTGGGGCAGCAGCCGCTGCAGCGAGGGAACACGTCTGGGGGCATGTGTGGCCTGAGAAGCGCCGGGGCCACCTCAGTGGACGCACGACCGGACACAGGACTGGCGGCCCTGCTGGGAGCTGAGTCCCCCGGGCATCGGCGGCGACCGTGGGCCCCGCTGTCCGACATGGGCCAGCCAGCCAGGCCCTCTGATGTCAGGTGTGGGTGTCTCCGGGCCATCTCCCTGGGGAGGCTGATCGCAGGTCCGGAGGCCCCCTGGGCCCCCCGATGTGCCTGAGCGGCAGGCGCTCCCCGCGTCCGTACCGTCCTGCTCCCACTTCCCTGTCACCCCGTGACGGCCCCTTCCCCGGAAAGGGGGCCGCAGGCCACGCGAGCGATAACAGAGCCGGCGTGGACAGTGACCGTTTATTACCACGTGGACACAGACACCGGTGTGGACAGCGTCAGCTGGGAGAGAACTGGGACACCACCTAAGGAAGCGTGACTTGGGGTGTCGTCTCGTAAACCAAAAGAAATGGACACTTAAATAAGCAAATATAAAATTCAAAAAAAGGCGAGGAGACCTGGTGTTTTGTGTCAGGTAGAATCTAAAAAAATCCAGGAGTCGGACTTCTTCCCTCGTGTGACATCCCCACAGGCGAGCACCGGTGAGGCGCGTCCAGCGTCCTGCGAGCGGGCGCGGCGGCTCCTGGGGTGCAGTGGGCGCTAGGAGGTGCTGATCCCGCTCAGCTCCTGCCTGATGGCTGCGGGCAGAGGAGGGGCTCAGCCTGCGCCCCACACGCAGCCCCCCCACCGTGGGGCTTCCCGCGCCTCTGTCCCAGGGCCCCTCGGGGTCCTGCGGGCTGGGCGCTAGCTGGGGCCACGGCAGCTGTGGGTCCTCCTCGCTCCTGACGCCCTGGACCGGTGGGCGCCCTGGGGGGCTCGGAGGACGAGGGTGCCCCACTAACAGGTGGGGAGCCCCTGCCTCGAGGAGGGGTGCCTCCCACCAGGACTCCCCCAGGCCCTCCCTCCAGGGAGGGCATCTCTGGCTCTTGTCTCCAGCTCCCTCCTGTCCCCACCCCAAGCCTGGGCCTTTCTCCAGAGTCCAAGGCCATGGGCGAGCCCAAGGGCTGGGCATTGCCGGGTTATGAGGGGGGCGGTCCTGGGCGGCAGTGCCCTGCGGGGTGCCAGGCGGGGTCCCCACCGCACCCCTAGCCCGCGCCCCTGCAGGCAGCTCTCGCCCTGGGGCCGCAGGGTAGCGCCAGGGGCACCCCACAATAAAGGGACTTAATGCTCGGCCTGGCCTCTCCTGCTCTCTTCACTCATTAACTCCTTATCTGCCCGCGCAGGCCTGCGGGGGACTGGACAAACAGGAACCGCTCCGCCGGACGGGCCGGGTGTGGCGGTCACCCGGCTGGGCAGGCTCCAGCTCTACGGCCGGCTGGCTCCCACCCAGGCCCCCACTCTGGCTCCAGAGTCCCGCAAGCCTCTGCCTTCAGAGCCACCCCACTTAGTTCTGGGACCCCCTCTTGCCGGGCCCCCCACCAGGCGTGAGACCTCTGCGGCCAGGGGAGGGAGGCGGGGGCCACGGCTGCGCCCCGGCTTGCCCGGGTCACGCCCACCCTGCCCGGCCTTTCTTCTCGCCCTGGCTCCAGATCTGAGCCGGCCAGATCAAAGGTTCGTGGGAACCAGTGTAAGACGTGATTCACGGGACGAAGCCGGCGGCTCTTCTGGGGGCAGCCCTGTGGGGTCAAGCGGGCTTAGGTCCTCCTAAGGCCCCGGAGGGCCACAGTTGCTCGCCTGACCCCAAATCCAGTGACCGGAGGTGGCAGAACCACAGGTTAAACGGGGCCCAGACCATTCCAGCCGTCTGCGCCTTGGGGGACCCCGGCAGCCACCCCTCCCCATGGCCGCCGAGCTGACCGGGCGGGGCCCTGGGGGAGCTGCGGGGGGGTCCCCTCCCCTTGCCCAACTAGAGGGGGCAGTCGGGGCGCGGGCGGATGGAGGAGCAGGCCTCGGGGCGCCCGCCGGCCACCCCTGCGCGGGCGGCCCGCACTCACCGTCGATGATCTCCTCCTTCACCTTGTGCAGCTCCCGGACCACCTCCTCCAGGATCTCCTGGTGGGGCACAGCAGAGGCGCGGGGCAGCAGGCCCGGGAGCCCCGGGGGAGGCTGGCGGCCGGGCCCAGTGGCTGGCGGAGCCCGGGCAGCCGCGGGCCCCGTCGCGCCTCTCCGGACACTCACCTGTTTCATCCTGTCCAGATCGAAGGCGTCCAGGGCCACGTCGTTCACGCTCCCCGCCGGCTTCATCCTGGGGGCAGGAGGGCGGCAGGTGCGGTCAGGCGGGTGCGGCCACGTCCTCTCGCCGGGGGACCGAGCCGGAAGCCAGGGCCCGCTCTCGGGACCCGCGCCGCCCGCTTCCCACTCTGACCACGGTCCCCCTTCAGCCACGTGGAAGGAGCCGGGCCCAGGCCCCCCCTCAAGACACCCACCATAGTCCCAGCCCCAGAGAGCCAGGACTCGGGGTCCCCGAACTCCCCTGGTAAGAACACTAGGGTCACCGTGGGATGTGTGGGTCCTGGTTAGGGGAGCCTGGTGAAGAGGGTGCTGTTACGGTGCAAACCGCAGAGCGGGTGGCCAAGGCCGGCGAGGGCACCGGGCGAGGGCACCGGGCGAGGGCACCCGGCGAGGCCACCCCTTCCCACGCGCGGCGGGCTGGCGGCCGTCACGGCGTGGCAACTTCGCACGGAATGGCCTTGGCTTTCTGTTTCGCCCCACATCTCCCCAGAAAGCTGAGGCCCGTGGGCTCGACGTGCGACATCTGCACACCAGCCCCCGGCACAAGCAGCCCAGGGGCCCAACTGTTCGGGACAGGACCTGGGGGACACGGCTGCCCCTCTGGGGCTCGCGTGGAGGGGCAAGGCGTGGCGCCGACGCCCACGAGTGGTGACGCTGGCCACTGCGTCTGTGCCACGAGGGCGGTGCGTGGTGGGGAGGACAGGCTGGGACGCTCGTGCGGGAGCACTGTGCTAAGCGGCCCAGCCCACTCAAAGCAGCGCCGCCCAGGGCCGCACCACCCCACTTTGGGCTCCCACACGAAGGAAGGGGAGTCACTGGTAGAGCCCTGCACCCCGTGTGTGTGTCCACCCTCGGGGGGGGGTGAAAGTGATGTGCGGTGTCCACACTGGGCAAAGCCACTCGGCCGAGGATGGAGGGAACGGCGCCCCCTCCGGGCCCGTGGTGGGCTGGCGCGGAGGGACGAGGCTTATCTGACCCGCTGGTGGAACTTAAGAAAGCCCAGCAGAGTGGACTGGCTGCAGGGGGCGGGGGAGGCCAGGGGTGCACACCCCCCGCTGGGGGGAGGGTCAGGCAGGCCAGGCGGCGCCCCAGCTGACCGGCCGGGTCCACACAGCCACAGGGGAAGCTTGAAAGTAGCTCGCAGAGGGCAGAGCGTAAAAGTCCTCCCTGCATCCAGAAAAGGGGGCCGGGGAGCTGCCGTTTTGCAACACACGTGGGCGTGCGGCCGCAGGGCACCTCAGACTCACCGCGGGGGGAAAGCCCGAGGGAGGCCGAACAGGTGAAGTCTGGTCGCGCAGGGCCAGACGCCGACGAGGGGGAAGGGAAGGGGCGGCCCCACACCTCGAGGAGCCAGCGGGCACTGGCACAGCTGGGTGAGGGACTCGGCTCCGAGGGGCAGGCCCAGCCTGCGCCCCTGGCGTGCCCGTCGGGTCACCTCGCTCACGTGCTCCAGCCCCGTCTGCACGTGCAGAAGGCCAGGCCAGGCCAGGCCGGCTCCGCTGAGCTCACCCCCGCTGCCCCCGCCGCACCCCAGCACGCCTGTTCTGAGCGTCCAGCACGCGGTCCCGTGTGGCTCCCCGGAGCCTCAGCCACGGCCCTTCCGGCAGAGCGAGGCTGAGCTGGCGGGGACCACAGGGCCCTGCCTGGGGCCCAGCTGACCACAGGCCCGAGAGGCCTCGCGGCCCGGTTCCAGCCCCTGCTGGCCAGAGCTCCCAGCGTGCCAAGTCTCTGCTCTCACCCGCCACCCGCGTGGGACGAGGGTGCCTCCCGTCAGTGTGGGTGGGCGTGGAGACGCCTTGGCAGGCTGGGGCCCAGGGCCTCTGTTTCCTGGGCACCTACTTTCAATATTCTATCCTGTGACCGCTCCAGCTTTTGACAGGGGAGAAATGGTCACACCTCGGGGCGCCTGCTCCACAGGGGGCCACGCAGTAGTGGGGATGGGGCCAGGCCAGCCACGGAGGTGGCGTGGCCAGCAGGCACTTCCGGCATCCACTGTCCACGCATCTGCCCCGTGAGGCAGGGGTCAGAAGACCTCCTGAGCAGGCGGGTGGGGAAGGCCAGAAGGGTCACCCGCTTGCTTGTTGGGGTTCCCAGGACCAAGCGTGGATCCAGGGTCTCAGCTGCACCCTCTGGTGGCCCCCAGGCTTCAGTGCCCCAGCCCCACCCCCCCAGGCCCAAAGAGAAGATGACACCCGTCCCCAGAGCCAGCTGTTAGAGGACAGGACAGGACGTGGTCAGGTGTTAGTCACAGGTGGCCAGAGGCCGGGTGTTCGGTACCTAGAATGAGGCTGCGACTGAAGGGGGCTCTTAGCTTCGGGGCTCTTGGCCACAGACGGGGTTCTAGGGCGACGGAATGAAACAGACGTGTGAATTGGAGCGGGTGGTCTGGCCCGGGGCGGTGCCGGCTCCCCGGGCAGCTCACCTGGACAGCAACGAGGACACGGGCTTCTCCACCGAGTTGCTCCGCTCCCAGGGCTTCCGGCCAGCGTCTGTCAAGTCACCGCGTGGACGCAGAGCTCAGCGCCCAGAGGACTCGGGGCCACCCCACACCCGAGACACCCCACGGGCGGCGCTCGGTGGCGGCCGGGCGGCGGAGGGTGTGCCTGGGCAGAGAGGAACTCGGGGCTTGTCCCCGCCGCGGCCAGCTG